CTGGGCTCTAACAGCTGAGCTTCTCAGATTTAGGTATATGTTAGCAAAGACCACCTGGAAACATGAAATGCAGATTCCCAGCACTCACGCCTAGAGATGCTGTGTTTGGGGTGGAGGGTGGGCATGTCTAGTTTTCAGGGGTGGTCTCAGCACCCCTGCTGATCCCAGGTTTTTCTCTACAGCGGGGCTTCTCCACCTGAGCACGACTGACATTTTGGACTGGAGAATTTTTCGTTGTCAAGGGCTCTCCTCACACGCTGGGCAGCATCTCTGGCCTCTACTCACCAGATGCCAGTACCATCCCTCACCCCTGTTGTGACAACCGATGATGTCTCCAAACATCGTCAGATGTCCCCTGGGAGGCAGGTTCATGTTTCTTTGGAACCACAGCTCAATAACATCACCTGCAGAATTAGCATAGTCCCTCGCATAGCTAGAGATGTTAAAGGTCTCTTTAGTTGAATAAAGCTCAGACGGATTAGACAAGGGAACTCTCACAATGTCAACAACAGAGATACACACCTGTCATTATACATTTTCTGGGGTTTTCCCAGTCTTTTCTGCAGAAACCGACTCTTTTCAAATTTTAAGACTTTCAGTCTCAGAACGGGGACATGCTAGCCACCTGCTAGGCTATTCTGCACACTGGGATCTGATATTTATTCCAGAGAAATAGTTTCTATGGGGAAACGTCCTGAGGAACCACTGTTGTTGGTTTTTTTTTTTTCCATCTACCACGTAGTAATGGCCAGTTAATTGAATAGATTGTGGAGTCAGTAGAGGTAGTTCAATTTTTCCCAATTACTGCCTTCAAACATTGTCTGTTGTAACTAGATCTACCTGTGTCGTTGGTTGTTAGCTGTACACTCCACCCAGCTTGAGATGGGGAGGGGGAGGCGAAAGAAAGAGGGAGGGGAAGAGAAAGAGAGAAAGAACGGGCACAAGGAGGGAGGTTGCATGGCCACTAGATGGCACCAAAGACAACCCAATAAAGAGCAACCCGGGACTTGGGCTTTTCTCTCTTCCCCGAAGATTCTGTTCAAGTTTTCTCTGAATCCAGCAAGAGAGATTCCATGAACCTCGCTGAGAATTACGCAGAGACAGACCTCCATGCACGTTCAGCTTTCCGTAACCTATTCCACAACGGTTTCTGGAATGCAGGCAGAGAGCTTACTTAGCTAGCGGCAGGCAGCTGCGTCTCAGAACGGTTGGGATGACCAGCCTTTAACCCGGTCCGATGTCAGGAGATATGGTGACCATGGCCAGTCCCCTTGGGCTTTGCTGCTGGTGCTTTCACTCATTCTGTGCCCCAAAGATCCAGGCCTTACCCCATGGGGCTTGGGATGCGAAGCTACAAGACAGAGCTCTGGGTGGGGCCTGGGAGCCTCTCCCTCCGCAGCCCGTGGGCCCTTCTCCGTCTCGGATGCACCTCTTTATCTTCTCTGCTCCCACCGCCAACATCGCCTTCCTGGCAGTATGAGCTCTCATCTGGCTATTGCCAGCCTGGTTTCACCTCCCGCAGTCAGCCTGTCCCACCTTCCTGTCCGTTCCACACACTTTATCCAGAAGGGTCTTCCATACAAACGGCCGCTCCCTCGCTTGAAACGCTTTGTGGCCTCCTGTCGCTCTCAGGACAGACTCCAGACTCACTACCACGGTGTCCGAGGCTCTAGGGGATCTGATGCCTGCTCACCTGCCCAGTTCTATCTTTCTCCCAATTTCCCCTTCCCAAATCCCCGCCCAATCTCCGTGGCTCTCTCTCACTCCCGCCGCTACAGACACCTAGTCTTCAATCAGACTTAAATACTTTTGTTTCTCTAGTTATAATCATTTCTTTCTTTCTTTTTTCTTTTTCTCACTCTGGCCTTGGCACTTGGGAAGTAGACACTGCTCTCTCGCTTCTCGCATTCCCACAACCCTCGCCTGGGTGATTACCACCCTCGCCTCCTCTGACAAATCCTGAGAAAGCCCCACTCCAAGACTGCTTGGCCGCATCTCCTGAGTTTCCTTGGCTCAGCTGTCTTCCCCCTTCCGCCCCGACTACTAGCTCAGTACCCAGCGCTTCTTAGATGTTTGTTGAGGGAATGGACCGAACTGGCGCCGCACCCGGCAACCTGCGCAGACGCGGTGCCAACACAAGGTGGCGCTGCAGCCACGCGCTTCGGAGGGCAGCTCTTGCTTGGCGAAGGCCCGGCTGGCCCGGCTGGCCCGGCTGTTGTCCCCACGTGGGCTCCTCCAGGCTGAGAGAGGGTCGTCTGGAGTCAGGGACCCCTGTTCAGTTCTGTGATGCCGGTGACATACGTTTGGGAACAGATTCCTGCCCTGGTACCTTCATGCAAACTTCAGAAGCTTGAGTGTGGCCTTCACCAAAACTCGACTCATCCTGCCTTCTTCCAAAGCCCTCAGTTCTTAGCAAATTTTGTTTCTTGCCTTGCTAACTAGAGGAGTTCAGTACTCAAAGTTCATGATTCTCAGCTATTCAGTCAAGGGCTTGCTTCTTGGAGTAATTTGCTCCAATGGTGCCTCCCTGGTGGTTCAGAGAGTGAAGAATCTGCCTGTAATGCAGGAGATCTGGGTTTGATCCCTGGATCGGGAAGATCCTTTGGAGAAGGAAATGGCAACCCACTTCAGTATTCTTGCCTGGAGAATCCCATGGACAGAGTAGCCTGGTGAGCTCCAGTCCACGGGTTCACAAAGAGTTGGATAGATTCAGCAACTAACACTTCCACTTTTTGAAACTATCACAGGATAAATATTAGCTACTTGTTGATGAACTGGTTCATTAAATGGTTAAAAACGGTAGTTAACATGGGCATTTCAAGTACCATGGTAGGCTGGATGGCAGGAGAGAATGTCATTTTTTCCCCTGGATATGTCAGCCTAGATTCTGGAGGTGACTGCTTGTGGGGTCACTGGGTAGGGAGGTCTGCAAAGACAGATCAGGAAGGTTGTTTTCCCAGACTCTATCTACCCTAGTCTCCTGTGCCTGGGGGCCATCAAATTGTACTTTGAAATGCTTTTGTAGTATTCACAAAGGTGGTGGAGCCCTGCTTGGTCTGAAGCCCCCAGTTTCACTGTTGGCCGGGATTTGGGGGCAGGTTCCTTAACCAACAAGCTCCAGTTTCCAAGTTGCCAGAGGAAGGTCTGGCCCTGGATGACCTTTCAGGGTTCTGCAGTCCTGACGGTGTTTGAATTTCCGTGAGTCACGATGATGGTGGCAGCCGGGCAAGTTGCCTGATTTTTGTGCTCATCAATTTCTTTATCTGTGAAACATGAATCATAGGAGTAATTAGCTCATAGGGTTTTAAAACAATTAGGTGAAATCGACACCTGATAAAATCAGGCATTTAAAAATGTATGGTTGAGTCTCCCTGTTGTGCAACTATCACCTGTATCACGTGCCAGCACTGCCAAAGGAAAGCCTGTCCCATGAAATAGTCACTCCCACGGCCCCCCTCCCAGGCCCTGGCAGCAACCCATCTGTGTTCTGTTCATGAATTTGCCTCTACTGGATATTTCATATGCAGCGTGTCCCCTACATACAAACCTTCAGGTTGACAACTTTGTGGGGAGACCTTCTGGGTTGTATTGGACGGAGCAGCCTTGGAGGGCAAGAGGGTCATCATTGCTGATGAAAGGAGGAAGTGCCAGCACCTGGGGGCCTGGGGGCAGAGGGGAGCCTTTGAGTCAAGGGCAGTACCCTTCTAACACCAGTATTTTCTGCACTGTGAGTGTTATTTATTTATTTATTTTTTGCATATCCATCAAGCTCTCTTGTTCCTTTTATTCACAGCTCACCCTGAAAAAGAAATTTCTAGAATCTCCCCAATTAACTGGGTCAGTGGGCTCATAGGAAGATTTGTGTTTCTTGGAGCAGGGCTGGAATTTAAAGATTCTTTAATCTCATCTTTTCACATAACAGAGGAGGAAGAATCAGAGGCCCTGAGGTTTGCTCAGACCTCACCAGGAATGGGTTGCAGTCAGGCCTAGAACCTGGGTCTCCGGGCTCCCAGCTCCATGGCTTTTCCGGGATTGTGTGGATCTCAGTGCCTGGCTGCAGTCTCAGCACAGTTCCTATGCTGCTCGTGGACCTTGAAAAGTGGAGGGCTTCCCTGCAGCCGCCCTCTCTCCTGTTTCTGAATGTTTAAAACACAAGAGGCAAACTGTAGAAAAAAGATATAGCTCTTCTTCAGGAGAGAGTCTATTTACCTTTCTCTGTCCTGAGAACCTACTTAGGTGTTAATGGACACTAACCAGTCAATCCAGGCATTCATGTGTACTTAGTCATTCAGTCACGTCCGAATCTTTGGGACCCCATGGACTGTAGCCCACAGGCACCTCTGTCCAGGGAACTTCCCAGGTTAAAATACTGGAGTGGGTTGTCATTCCCTTCTCCAGGGGATCTTCCCAATCCAGGGATTGAACCCGTGTCTCCTGCATTGGCAGGCAGGTTCTTTACCACTGATCCACCAGGGAAGCCCAGTCAACCCAGGAAAACATACTCATTACTTGTAGGAATCATCAAAGCCCAATACTGAGAATCTCCATGAAGACAGAAGCATCAAAAATTAATCTTTAGACCAAAAAGGAGAATATTAAATCTGCAGTCAAAGGGAATATGGAAACTTCTAGATAAAAGAATAAAGCAGGTAAGACTGGCTCAAAAAGTATTTGGAGAAATGACTTATTTTTGTGTGATGGGAAGAGAGCGTCTGATAGATGAAAGTGTATCATCAACAGGGATGGCTGTATATTTAAAACTGTTGTCCAGGCTGCAGAGATCTCATGTTCTCAGGACTAGGTAAGCCAGTAATAAATGTTCCAGGACATGGTTGTTGCAGGTGCAATCTGGAAATTCTGGGAGGTTTGAGATGGTTCTCAGGAAGTGGATGAGCGAGTGTGCTGTGAATGTCCTTCTCAGCGAGGCTGTGGTCACCCTGCCGAGCCAGAGGCTCACGGGGAGGCGTGAGCCCCACTGACCGGTGTGTATCCCTTCTCAGATGGCAGGGACCGCACGCCACGACCGAGAGATGGCGACCCAGGCCAGGAAGAAGCTCACCGTGACCACTGACCCCATCGAGAGGCTCCGCTTGCAGTGCCTGGCCAGGGGCTCAGCGGGCATCAAAGGGCTTGGCAGGTAGGACCCGGTCTGTAGGCTGCAGGGAGATGAAGGAGAAAGGCAGAGTGTGGCCAAGTGAGGCTGAGACCCGCCATGGGCCCTTGGGCAAGTCACTTCCTCCTGGGTCTCAGCTCCTCCTTTGTAAAATGCAGAGTTTGGAAGCATTGATCTCTGAGGTCCCTTGTGACAATTTTTGGTTCTTAAGTACAGCTACTGGGACAAATCAAAGTGAAGGGAGAAGCACATCCAGGTATTAGAGACACCTAGAAGGGGGTGACAGAGGATGAGATGGTTGGATGGCATCATTGACTCAATGGACATGAGTCTGAGCAAACTCTGGGAGACAGTGAAGGACAAGGGAGCCTGGCGTGCTCCAGTCCACGGGGTTGCAAAGAGTCAGACATGACTGAGCGACTGAACAACAAGCAGTGTAATGAGAGAGACAGCCCCTAAAGCTGAATTATCCCAGGAGACTGGCATATAGTTCCCTTTGGTCTACAGTAGGACCTTGCTGTTTATCCATGCTAAATGTAATAGTTTGCCTGTGCTGACCTCAAGCTCTCAGTAGGGTTCAGGAGAGGCTGAGAAATGACTCTGTATGTCCAGAGAAAGCAATGGATGTGCTATTAAAATATTCACTGAGCTTAGGATCAGATGTTTGGCATGAGTAAAATTTGAAAGTCCCCTCAAAGGAGGGGTAGTGAATTAGAATAGGGAGGGAGCAATAGGGATTTAGAGGCAGTTGCAGATTTTGTGTCTCCATCACTTCCAGGGACACAGGAATCTCCTGCTACCCAGGGATTCCCTTAGCTTCACAGAGAACAGGTCCTGTTCCTGGCCCTCTGATCGTGGGATTAGTCCTCGGGCCCGGGAAACCTGAGTGGAAAGAGATTGTAAGCCTCCTAAGGGTGGGTCCTGAGTGTTATCTATTTCCAAAGACTAAACCCAGTGCCTGCCATGGGTGGGGCATTGTGCTATCTCAGGGCTTTCATGGGCAAGCAAGGCTTCTCCAGGGTTCGAGGAGAACCCAGGACACCAAGAGTCACAAGGATGGGCATCCTCCTGGTGTGAGAAGTTGTGTGTTAGAGACAGACAGAGTGCCAGCGCTCGGGAGCTCCAACTTCCCATCTGGTGGCCGAGAGGTTTCCTTTCCCACAGGTTACTGAGCACTGGAATGTCACTTTCAACAGTCCCCCACTCTTGGACCAAGCCCAGCTCTGTCAGATGCTCAGGATGTGGGCAAATGGATCCTGGTGGCCAGGCTGTCACGGTCCAATGGGAAGACGAGCCCACTTCCCTTCAACATTGTATCAGTCCATCCTCCATCTTCGTGCTGGGGTCACATTCTTGTCCTCAGTGTAGACCCCTCATGACTACTACTGTCTCATCTACTCCCTGGCCCATTCAGTTGAATCTCTCCTGCTGTCTATGCCACCTCCACCCCACGCCCCTATCAGCCCTTCCACTGTGAACCAGTCTACTGTGAACAAACACTGTCTCCTCCTTGGCCTTCTGCGTGAATGTGCCCTCTGCCTCCTCCCCTTTACTGGTTTTGCCCTTCCCTACATTTCTCCTCAAGGGTTGGCTGCCCCTTTCCCCATTTTTTTTCCCTTATAGTTAGACTGGGATTATGTTTCTTTGGGGGCCACAGAAGAAAAGTGACATTCTCATCACATCAAATCAAGGATGCATGCATACTATCAACATGAGGGTGATGGTGGGTTAGTCGCTCAGTTGTGTCTGACTCTTTGTGACCCCATGGACTACAGCCCTCCAGGCTCCTCTGTCCATGAGATTTCCCAGCCAAGAGTACTGGAGTGGGTGGCCATTTCCTTCTCCAACTATCAGAATGGCTTATCACCACTGGCGTTGATCTTGGTCTCCTGGCTGGGACAGTGCCTGGTTTCTCCTCTGTAAACTTGCTTTCCCCTCTGCCTCTCCATATTGGACTCTTCAAAGGGAAGTGTCTATGCAGAGCCCCACTTAGGGCCTGGGGAGCATGGTTTCCTCCTTTAGGAAAGAGTATGAGCATAATTTATTTGAAATTCGGCAAGAGAAATGTATCTCTTCTCCCACATTTATCTACTTATTCAATCATTTACTTAAACCATTATTAACTCATGGATATGTATTTTATACTTTGGGTTATAACCCAACACTTTTTTATTGTTCAAATTGTTTCAGTTTTGGCTTTGGGAGCTCTTTCGGTTGGCTTCTGTTTCCATTTGATGTATCTCCATCAATGTAGACTTTCTTTGAGCACTTCTTTACCTTTTGGTATAAGATACTCCAAGCTTATCTTGCAAATTTTCTTGCCCCAGTTCTAGAATCAGACATTTCTCCAAGAAGCTCATTTCCTTTTCTTGGAGAATTGTGTCATAAACCAAGATCTAGACTCTAGATGTTCTTGTTCTTACTAAGGTATTACTTTTAGATTCTCTTAGCTGACAGAACAAGGAGATACAGATGTACAGGCTAACCCCTCTCTATCTATACATATCTGTAAATATTTTATATGTATTCATCTATGTTTATATTAAGCTAAACGTGAGTTCCTACTGATGTCTCCAACTCAATCCTTATTGATCAGATCATTCTAGCCCCCTGTCCTAGCTTATCTATAAATCCCCACTCCAACAGTGAGAAGCTTAGCTCCCATCGTCCTTTTAATTGTTTGGATCCAGGGCACCCATATACAACAAGGAAATTGTCAGCTTATATCTCCATGAGAAATATCTTTATCAACTGGAGTACAGAGGTTATGTGCAGCTCATTTTGTCTTTAGTCTTATGAACTCTACTCATTTCCAGAGTTACTTAAGTCAGCACTTTCATCTTTCCATCCCCCTTCAGTGAGATGGTCTCAAACTTTTATAAATCAGTTGAATTCTCACAGCACAATCTGTATTCCTTCCTGGGATTCCCTGATGTGCTAAAAAAAATTTTTAAATGTACACATTAAGGCTTACTCTTTGTGCTGTGAGGTTCTACGGGCTTTAGCAAATGCACATCATGTATCCTCCACTCTAGTGCTATACAGAGAAATATCACTGCCCAGAATCTCTCTCCCCTTTCCTGCATCTTTTTTTTTAAACCACCTTTACAGTTCTCGCATTTTCAGAATATCATATAATTAGAGCACACAGTATATTTTTAAATGTTTATTTTCTTTTTTGAGGGGCTGGGAAGAAGCTCACCAGAGAAGAACTTAAGACTTTTGTCTTTACTTCAAAAAACCTTGAGAGTGGCTTGCTCTTTGAATTTTTATTCTTATATCTTGTTCTTGGTGTTTTTTCTTCCGTTTTGTATGTGTATCTTATCTTCAGAGTGTTTCGAATTATGGATGACAATAACAACCGAACCCTTGATTTCAAAGAATTTGTGAAAGGGTTAAATGATTATGCTGTGGTCATGGAAAAGGAGGAAGCAGAAGAGCTTTTCCGGAGGTTTGATAAAGATGGAAATGGAACAATAGACTTCAATGAATTTCTTCTCACATTAAGAGTAAGTGGTCCCACGAATCACTGTACTCACTGGGTTTGGCCTAACGTGGTTTGGACTGGCTATTGTGAGACTTGGTTTTTGGAAGCTGATAGCACACCATGGAGGAGATGGGCAGGAGACAATACAGGCTTAGGGATTTTCTGGAGCAGTCATAATGCACATCATTTAAAGGCACACATACAATTGCAATTGCACATCACTGAGAGGAATCAGATATTTCACTGCAGATGATACAAGGAAAGCTCATCGACTTATGTATGTGGCTTTTTTCCTATGTTTCTAGCCTCCAATGTCCAGAGCCAGAAAAGAGGTGATTATGCAAGCTTTTAGAAAGCTAGACAAGACTGGAGATGGTGTGATAACAATTGAAGACCTTCGAGAGGTGTACAATGCAAAACACCATCCAAAGTATCAGAATGGTGAATGGACGGAGGAGCAAGTGTTCCGGAAATTTCTGGATAACTTTGACTCACCTTATGACAAAGATGGAGTGGTGAGTGAAAGAACTTAATCTAGTGAAATTTCTTTCCGTAATTATAAATGGGAAATGGGCCCCAAGTTTTAAGAATATTATTTTATGAATAGAAGTACAATGTTTCCTTGGTGACTATCTATAAAGCTTAGAACAAAGGTAATAAAAATGTGTGTGTGTGTTCGTGTGTGTATGCACATATATTTGTAGGGGAGCCACATACAGCTAAATACCCATCATCTGAAGACTGTGGCATTTTGGTTAAATGTTCTGTTTCTTGGTTGCCATATTTACCATACACAGCTAGCCTAATTTCAATGAACTTGATGATAATACATATTTAACTTCGAAATGAGACCATAATTCAATTTTGGGGAACATGGTTCACAGGGCATCTTGGGATGCTGCCTGCCTTTTCACACATCCTCCTGAGCATCTTTTGTCATCACACTTCGCTACATGAAAATGTCATTTCAGGGAAGCATTCATTAAGGGAATGCCAGATAACAGAATTCACTCTGATTTAATCTTTGGTGGGCTTTGAGATGAACTTCCATTTCTAAACGCCAGTGAACTTAAGGACAAAAGCAACCACCCATTTCCAATAACTCGTGTCTTCAAGTGACAAAACATGTTGCTTGGTAGGATAAGGAATACTGTTTCCATAACTGTATTTAAACTGAGATGGAATTGTTAGGTAGCTAGAATAGGAAAAAGGAGTCCAGAATGGCAGTGGCTAAAAGACAAGAAAGGGAAAAGCCCATGAAAATAGAACAAAGGAAGGCCTGAGGACTGGAGTGAGGACCTCAGGTAGAACAAATAGCACTCCTGGCTAGCCTAATTTACACAGGGCAGGTGCAAGGGGAGGAAAAAAACATATAGAAAGAGGAGCCAAAGGGCCGGGGGTCTCTCTCTCCTGTGCGCCCGCATGCGTGCGTGCTCTGTCTCTCTCTCTCTCTCTCTCTTCTCTTCCTGTCTTTTGGGTTGGCATGCCCTCACACCTTGAGGATGTATTTTTCTTTATTTTCTAAATAAAACTGAGCTGTAACATGGAGCTGTAACACTGTCCAAGAGCTGTGATGCACCGAGGGCTTTAACATCCGTTTCTTCAAATTTTTGTTATGACGAGACAGAACCGAGGAAATTATACACTTCCCTGACAGAATGAAAGAAAAGTGAAAGTGGCAGTCACCCGTCATGTCTGACTCTTTGCGAATCCATGGACTGTAACCCACTTGGCTGGCTCCTTTGTCCTTTGGATTCTCCAGGCAAGAATATTGGAGTCGGTGCCATTCACTCCTCCAGGGGATCTTCCCAACCTCACTCCTCCAGGGGATCTTCCCAACCCAGGGATGGAATCCAGATTTCCTGCATTGCAGACGTATCTTTGCTATCTGCTGGAGTAGGGAATGGCAACCCACTCCAGTATTCTTGCCTGAAGAATCCCATGGAAAGAGGAGCCTTGCAGGCTACAGTCCATGGGGGTCGCATACAGCTGGACATGATTAAGTGACTAAACTTTCTTTCTTTCTTTACCATCTGAGCCACCAGGGAAGTCCAAGATAGAATGTCGTCTCTTTTATCAACATCCAGAAATGGGATTTTTGACCCAGGATCAGTTCTGCTCTGAGATGCCCTGAAGGTTTGAGGTGATGGGGAAGGGAGTGCCCTGTGTGGCTGGGGCAGCAGGACCCTGGGGACAGTGACTCCTGACCTCTTTGCCACACAGGAAGGCTTAGTGTGGCAGTGGGCTGGAAGCGGAGATGCTGGAGATAGGGAGAGGAAACAAGCCTTCCTGTCCTAAAGGGAATTTCCCCCCCATTTTTTTTCTGTGAAACTTCATGGTGAGCCCTATGACCAAGGGGAGGGAGATCTTTCTGTCGTTTCTGCTGACATTTTCCTGCCGGGGCAGAGAAATACCCTCCATTTTAGCCTGAAGTGATTGCAGAAGTAGATTTAAAAAAGGAGCCTAGATTCTGTTGGGCAGTCAAATGCATGGGGACAGAAACAGCAGAACCGTGTTTTCTTCCCCTGAGGCTGGCCTTTGATCTCTGAGATGGCAGTGGAAAAATAGTCAACTGTCATTTCCCCAAATTAGCCCATCTTGACGTGGGGTCCCAGGCTGTATCTACCCCCCTTCTGCAGGTGGTTCCTCCCCTTTGCCAGGGGAAACCTCAGCTGCCCTTTTCTCTAACCCAAGTCAGAATAGCCAGTTGTTGTGATTCAGCTGATTTCAAGTTCCCACCCCGTTTCTTCTGACATTTATCTTCACAAGCCACAGTAGGTTCTCAAATACTCAAAGTAAGGGTTATTGGGGTTTTTAGCGGTTATAGCATTTGATGTCACCTGAATTTCACAGACTCTGCATAAACCCCCAGCTCTCTGGGTGCTCATCATCCAGGGAATGGATTATTCATTCAGGTTGCTGGCGCCGAAGAACTGCGAAATCTGATTGTTTTTAAAGAGGGGTGGGGGGTGGGGGTGGGGTACAAGGATTTACAGTTTTAACAAGTATCCCAAACAACTCTTATTCACATTGGTATTCGAGATCTTTGCCTCTCAAAGATTCAGAAGTGCCTGATTCAATGACTAAACCTACTATGCATACCCTGGAGGAGGAAACGGCAACCCACTCACTCCAGTATTCTTGCCTGGAGAATCCCATGGAGAGAGGAGCCTGGTGGGCTGCAGTCAGAGTCACAAAGAATTGGACAGGATTGAAGTGACTTAGCATGCACACATGCACATATTATGCACAGAAACATCACTTAGCATAATTATAAATCTGAATAGTATTTATTGAGCACTTATTATTGCCCAGACGTTGTGCCAAGGACTTTCCAGGGATATTCCATTTAATAGGAATAAGGAAAATGTTTCTTAAACCTGATGAATGATTCAGACTTTTCTATATTGAGTCACATTTTAAATGAACAAAGAGCTGTTGTTATAAAGGAACTCCAGATGAAGCTGAAAGCTGGAGAACTGAGGAATGCAAAGCAGGCCAGAAATAAAGAAACTCAAGAAAGAAGCACATTAATAGTACTCTATAATTATTAACAAAAGCTCTTGTGCATGTATTCTTTATTTCTACTTCCAGGCATTGACAGGCACAGCACAGTTACTAGCTCCATTCAGCGTCTTTCTTCCTACTGCTTTTTACTCTTTTATGGGGTGGGGTGGGAGCAGAGAGACAGGAGGAAGAGAGAGAAGGGGAGAACAGAAGGAGACAAGGATGGATCCTATGACTTTTTTCTCTGTTCCCTTATAATTTCAGCACAAAATGCAAGTGGGTCAGTCAACTCATGATTCTTGGAAGCGATAAGAATGTTCCCCAAGACTGGTGAGAAAGGAGTTTGCTGTTAGGGACTAGAAAGGGGTTTTGAATTATTTATGTATTTTACTTTTTGTGTTGTTTTCAGTCCCTCATGACACTGAAATTTGAGGGCTAGCTGGAAAAGCGATAACTTTCCCAGACAACCATCATTACTGTGTCTCTCCTCCCATATAAGCTGGTCTGGAAAGAAAGAAAGAAAGAGAGAAAGAAAGAGAGAGAGAGAAAAGAAAGAAAGAAAGAAAGAAAGGGAAGGAAGGAAGGGAAGGAAGGAAGGGAAGGAGAAAGAAGTCGCTTGGTCGTGTCTGACTCTTTGTGACTCCATGGACTGTAGCCTACCAGGCTCCTCAGTCCATGGGATTTTCCAGGCAAGAATACTGGAGTAGGTTGCCATTTCCTTCTCCAGGGGATCTTCCCAACCCAGGGATTGAACCCGGGTCTCCTGCATTGTAGGCAGACACTTTACTGTCTGAGCTAAGCTGGTCTGTACCTGGGGCTAAATTCACTGGTCATAGAGATCAAACCAAAGAACAATTATTTCCCTGAGTCAACTAATTGTGTCTGCTAATTCAGTTGAATTAGAGCGCACTTGTCACATGCACCTATTTAAAAATACATTGGTAACTGCATTTCTTCTCTCTAAAAGGAAAGCAAAGTAAAATCTTAACATAAGTAAACATATTAGTTGAAACAGGCATGGAAAGAGAGAGAACCCAAGTGGGGATGGAGTGGGGGGATCTTTTAGAACTTATTCTGTGCCTGGAATGAATCATATATATCTTAAAAAAGCATGAAGCCAAGGCGTGTTTAACAAGAAACCTCTTTCCTTATCTGTAGGACGGAGCTCCATTTTTATTTTTATTTTTTTTCTGTTCCATTTTTAAAGGTAAAAAACATGTCTTGTCTTGACACAAGAACATGAGGGTGGTATTTCTGACATGTCACCAAAAGAGGGGATTCACTGCAGTTAAAGAACCCATGTTTCTATTCTGAGTTTCAGTCTCACTTACCTGGACAGATGGGCTTCTACTCTTATAGGAAGATAGACCTGCATCTCACTTTCCATTTAGGTTGGTTTGGAAATTTTCGAGACTTTCTTCCTTTATTCCCCTTGGCCACTCCCTCATGGCCATCCTCAACCTCATCTTTTCTCTTTTTCTAGATCTGTTCCTCAGTGGTGTCACTAAAAATTCCCCTTGACTGAAATTTCCCTCCCATTTACAGGTCCTGGAGATGTCCCTCAACTGAAATGGTGAGAAGCAAAGCTTTGTGTGTTTTTTTTCCCCCTAACTTTTACACTGCAGGTGACTCCTGAGGAGTTCATGAACTACTACGCCGGGGTGAGCGCGTCCATTGACACTGATGTGTATTTCATCGTCATGATGCGAACCGCCTGGAAGCTCTGAATGTATGACCTGGGAACAGGGAACCTTAAGGGCTGCCATGTGGCTCCAAATGATTAAACATCAGCTCAAAACCAGGATCAGCACTGAGTTCATATTCATTCCAGGGTTTCTTACGTGTTTACATACACTGCATTTCCTAGGGCAGAAGAAATAAAGGCATTAAGTATTTAACTGTCACTTCTCTGAGGCTGTTTCCTTGGTTCTAAAATATATATCAGTTAAAATATGGTCCATAAGTCTCCTAGAACCAGGCTAAAAAAAATTAGATTTCTTCCTTGGCTATTAATAAAATTTCGAATATTATAATCCCACACAGGCACCCAGAGTGTTTCTCCACCTCCAGTTAGATGGTGCATTTCTAGGTTGAAGAATTTATCTATTTTTAAGACTGATGGTAAATCTTCACGAGTCTCAGTCCCAATCTGGGGATCAGAAGGAGACCCCACATTAGCCTCTATTTTCAGAGAGTGTCAAGTTTCAAAGTTTCAAGTTTCAAAACTTGAGTTTCTCTGCTTGAGGTTTCAGTAAGCCTCGGTTTGGCCAATAGATTTAAAATGACATTTTGGGGTCATTTTAAAGGCTGATGTGAGACTAGACACCTTTTCCTTGAGCAGTAGAGTCAGGACAGTGCCTGTGGTTAAATTCTGAAACTGGGCTGTGCTCTCAGGATTTATGTGGGACATCTCACCCTGTGAGTGGGCACATCACATCAGGGGTCTGGTGGAAGGTTCCTCTCTCCCCTCCCTGCTGTGGGCCCATCCCGCTGAAGTTCCCACCAGCACAGAGAGACAGAGTGAGGCAGAGACGAGGACCATAGGCACACCCAAAGCTGAGTTTCCATCCTGACACTTCGTGGCTCAAAGTCTCCTCCTCTCAGGTCTAAGCTCTGGCTTCATGTTGTTGACGTGTGAGCATCTCCCCAGGAGAGGCTTCTAAGCAAAGGCAGCGCCTGCTGCTGGAGAGTAGATATTGAAACTACAGCTCTCTCTGCCTGTTTTCTGTTCCTGGGCCAGAGATCAAAACACAGAGACTAGTCCTCTGGCTATGGTGCTGGAGGTGATGACCTTGTTACTCAAAGACAGTCCTTTTTGTCATTCTGACCCTGGCTGGACTCCTCCCCTGGTTTGGGGACATAGACTGGGGTATTGGTCCCCTTTAAGATCTTATGTATTCAAGTGGCTCTGGATTTAGGGTCAGAACAGACTTGCCATTTTTCTTATCAGTTCACTTGTTTACTTGGTGAATTTGGAATTTGAGATCAGGATATACATTGATTTAAAAATTGTGAAAGCAAAAGTTTCCGGGTGAGAATTATAGCAATTGTTAAAGAGGACACTTTGCTTTGTTTGTTGTTGAGTTACCCTGATGACAGGCTGGACAAAGGACCTTTTTCTTTAGGGTGAGAGCAACTCCATGTCATGGGAAGCTAGCTTTTTTGCAAATTAATTGCAAAAGTCTGATTTTCTATTGGACTTATTATCAATGCTTATGTAGACAGTGGTTGTCCAAAAGGCACCAAATATTATAAAGAAATATAAGTAGAAAACCAGAGGAAGGTATGAAGAAATGGACAGAAAAATATTCATGTTTTCTGCAGCCTGGGCCTTGCATATTGTGACTAAAGAAGGGGTCCCCAGTTACCTGGGCACACTGGTTTCAAGCCTGCTGCTCTAGATAATTTGTGTCTTTGATTCTGGGGATGACTCATGCTCTGCTTAACTGGGGCCATAGAATAAGCATGTGATTCTAGAAGGAAGGTTGCAGCTATCAGCTTTGTCTTGCCCAGTAGTACTTTGCTTCCTGTCTAATTGGGGTGCAGGGCACCGCTATCAGATTTCTGATCATTCATGCCTCACAGGGCAGCTGGTCACATTGAGTTACCTCCCTTCTAACAGGTTTGGTTCTGGCCGGCAGTGAGGACTCTACCCACATTCCTCTCCACCGTGCCACCCTCCAGAAACCAGATCTAATAGCCCGTTGGTCAGCGTCACTCCATTCCTGCTCTCAGCCTTAACCTGTGACTAGGCCAGAAATCACTTATTATTTAAATCTATTCCTTCTGGTAGCAGTGGGAAGTATAGAGAAGAGTCATTAAAAATCATTTGCTAACATTTTTCAGCATATATTTTCATTTTAGTTAACTTATACAGTTAAAACGTTACTCCCTTTGCAATTAAAAGCAAAGATAAACTGACCACTTGGCTCAGAAGATAAAAGAAAAAAAGTAGGGGGGACCGGGATGGGGAATACATGTAAAAAAAAAAAAAAAAAAAAGATACACTATGGTTGTGATAAAAAAATAAATAAATAAATAAATAAATTAAAAAAAAAAAAGAAAAAAGAAAAAAAGTGTCTCCAAAAGAACACTTCAGAGCACTTCACCTGGACCTGGACAGGTTGGGCCTAGACCCTAGATATGATATTAGACAAGCAAGCCTAAGAGAAGAGGATGAAATTGGCAGCTTTTCATGAAGCAGGAACAATGTATGGAAACATTCTGCAAATCAGGATTGGTGAGAACAGGCCACCAGTATCTCCACTGAATCTGGGCCTCTAATCCCTCCCAAGGCAAACAAACCCAGGCCAGGCCAGAGAAGACCTTGACTCAGCTGTTGTCAAGAGCTGCAGGGCATCCTGACTGAATTCCAGTTAGAGGGCAAATGAGAAACCGGCAATGCATGAGTAGAATTATGGACTGAGGCAGATCTCCTCCAGCTAGTCAATGGGGCTGATCTTCAAAGTCATGTCAACCTTGATAGGATTTCTTCCCAGGCCCAGATGGTGCTCTGGGGGACAATGTATGGTTCTTTGTGATTTGGTGGCCAAGCACAGAGTCACATTTCATACTGTAATAGCAGCTTTTAAGGCAGAGCTGGACACCCTCCAAGTAGGCCACATGCATCATGGTTTTAGGGTAAAGAGATATCCCATCAAAAAATATTTTTTGAGCCGCTGCCGCGTGCCATGTTCTTTTCTAGACTGTGGGGATAAGCAATTTTTGTTGTTGTTGTTCAGTCACTAAGTCGTGTCTGACTCTTGGTGATCCCATGGACTGCAGTACGACAGGCTTCCTTGTCCTTCACTGTCTCCCAGAGTTTGCTCAGATTCATGTCCATTGAGTCAGTGATACCATCCAACCATCTCATCCTTTGCTACCCTCTTCTCCTTTTGCTTTCAATCTTTCCCAGCATCAAGGTCTTTTCCAATGACTCTGCTGTTTGCATCAGGTGGCCAAAGTATTGGAGCTTTTTTAAGGGGTGGTATAAGATCAGTCCTGGGTGTTCATTAGAAGGACTGATGTTGAAGATGAAACTCCAATACTTTGGCCACCTGATGCGAAGAGCTGACTTATTTGAAAAGACACTGATTCTGGGCTGGGAAAGATTGATGGCAGGAGGAGAAGGGGATGACAGAAGATGAGATGGTTGGATGGCATCACTGACTCAATGGACATGGGTTTGGGTGACTCCAGCAGTTGGTGATGGACAGGGAGGCCTGGTGCGCTGCAGTTCATGGTGTTGCAAAGAGTTGGACATGACTGAGCGACTGAACTGGACCTGGAAGCAATGTGCCAGAATAAATGCAAATTAAACTACTGGCTCTCAGACTAGTCTAACTGCATACAGTCTTTAAGAAATCAGAGAGGAAGGGAAAGGTGGGCACTGAAATTCACCTCTCTGTCTTGTCTAGCTTCTGAAGCAGGGCAGTTGGGACCCTTCACACAGTGGTATATGGGAGATTCCATTGTAAATCTGATGGATGTAGACAATCAAGGAAAATACCCCTCTATTCTTGGAGGCAGGTCACTGGCCCTTCACTTCTCTTAGCGGGTGTGGATTGCCTCATTGAACCAGGAGAGTACCAGCAGGTGATGGATGCTTCCACCCACATCAGGCTTCTTACAGATGCAATTTTTTCAGCTGATGTTTAATCAAGTGGAGATTAAATTAACCAAATGTGTTCTTGGATGGTGTGTGGGTGTCTTTCTACTCTTTCTTCATGTAATTCTGCTAACATGCTCTAAGGACTATCCCTTGTTGATTTATGGGTATCTCTTTGGGGCATAGAATAAACAACTTCACAGCTTCCAGTTTTTCAGATTAGTCAGCAAACTTGCTTTCCCGGAAATTATAGCCTGCTCTCTTAAATGAAGAGCTTAGTGGAAAGACATAGCCAAGTTTGAAATTTTAGAAATGCTTATGACTGAAGGGAAAACAAACATGCTGAGGATTTGATAGACTGTCATATAATGTTATTTATATGTAATTGATCCTTTGAAAGCTGTATTTCTAAGCACAATTTACTTCTCCAAGTTGCTTATATGAAAACGACATAAACCTTGATAGAGATAGCTAGTTATTTGTTATAATAAAAACACAATAGATGGATCTCTTAAAATTATGTGTTCCAAAGCAGATGATGGGTGAAATCTGTTGACAGACACATAAACACATGATTGCCGGGGGTTTTGAGAACAGAGCTGTGTGAGAAGGGGCCTTTTTGTCGTCTCAGTTGGTGCGGTGAAGGGTTGTGGTGAAACAGCTCTTCCTCTCTGAGAATAGCACCATCTTCTTGTTTCATTCTCACACCTGCTTCGCCAGAGCCAGTATTTTCCTTCATAAAACAGAGTGGAAGGTGCTCCTCAGGAGAGAACCCCTCCCTGAAAAACATGAACAGTCAACCAGCAGCTGAGGTTGGACCTCACCTCCACCAGAAAAGTATACAGAACCAGGGAGAGGACATCTCCAAACATAATGGCCGGTCTTCTTTTGTTCTGGATTCTTCTCCCTCTTCTTCATGAATGGAATTCATTCATTATTGCTCTAGAGTATCATAAAGGTCCTAGTAGCCATTGAACTCTGTAGATGAATTTTCTGTTTCACCCAGGGTCCCATGAGCACCATGGGTCTCCGGCTCTGTGTTGGTTCCTGACAGTGGACCGGAGGTAAGCAGCTCAGACGCAGAAAGGGTCGCACCCAGCTTTATGTTATGCTGGCGAG